CCATGATCAAGGCCGGTGGTGACAACGCCCAGGATCTTTACCTGAACGTCAACCGAAAGGCAAACAAGCTTGTCCGGGAAGCTTCAAAGCTGACCAAAGGAAGACAAATCATCGCCATGATGTACGAGAGCTTCAGAACTCGTGATCGAATGGACATGACCGTGTCGCTGGACTATCTCATCAGGCTACAATGGCAAGGTGATCAAAAGATGAACACGTTCAAGCAGACATGGTTGGAAGTCATAGATCGAATGCGACCTGAAGACGTCCCTTCCGATACAGCATTGAGGGATACATTGTACTCCAAGATCAAGGATTCACCGGCCTTGAAGCAGGAACTTTGCGTTCACTATGACATGCTGAACTACAATGATCCCGAAAGATCGTACAGTCGGTTACTCCATCTCATGGACAGATGTATTCAGAGGAGTCGCGAGCAAAAGAATCAACAACAAATCAATTCTGGTCTTAACCAGATGATATTGTGCAAAGACTCAATGTCGGCGCTCCCAGCAAAAGTCAAAGGAGGTGGAAAGGGCACAGGAACTCCATCAGACAACAAGGGCAATAAGACGGACAATGACAACGCTGCCCCAGTTCTTCCTCAAAGCAAAGCTAAGGCGCATGCCAAAGCTAAAGGCAACAAAGACAAGAACAAAGACAAGAACAAGCAGAGGGAGAGGTCTGAGTCCATTGACGGAAAGCCGAACATGAAGCACGTCAGGGGCAGGTTCTTCTTCTCCGAGCACAGTGAACACAAGAATGGGGAGAGGTGCCCATTCAGCCACTCAAAGAAGACCCCCGAGCGAGGACGAGGTAACACTCCCAACCGAAGGAGGACACCGTCAAGAAGTCCATCAACCGGGAATCAACAGAAGGAGTGCTATAGTTTCAAGAACACAGGAAGTTGCAAGCGCGACAATTACCCCTATGCATGCATCACTCCTGCTACTCCAGCAGAAGGAGAGACCAAGGCTGAGGCCAAGGCCAAAGCCAAGGCGAAGACAACGCCTGACGCCAAGGCAGAAGCCAAGACCAAGGCTAAAGCAAAGGGCAAGCCGCAACCCGCAGCTCCAGCGATCCGAATGTGCAGACTCGAAGTTGCAAGCGCGACAATTGCCCCTATGCACGCATCACTCCTGCTACTCCAGCAGAAGGAGAGACCTAGGCTGAGGCCAAGGCCAAAGCCAAGGCGAAGACAACGCCTGACGCCAAGGCAGAAGCCAAGACCAAGGCTAAAGCAAAGGGCGCAACCCGCAGCTCCAGCGATCCGAATGTGCAGAGCATGGAATCCACTCGCTCCGGCTATCCGAGAGAGAATGAATGTCGAGGAGGATGAAGAGTCAGATTGTTCATCGGTCGATAGTGATGTCGACTCCGATTGCTCTACTGATGATGAAATGGCTGGAGCGACGTCGTCGGCCAGACCACAAGAGAGCAGACATGTTTCATTCGCCAAAGATGTGCGATTCCAGTCGTCAAGGCCAAGGAGATAGTACAAAGAACGAGGCGAGGAAATAATCAAGGTGGACATTGACAACCTCGTCGAGAGCGAGAACCGAGTCAACAAGTTGGGTTTTGCCATGCAGAAAGCGCGTTTGAAAGCGCAAATGATGATCGACGTGATCGAGGATGGCAAGCCCGGTGATCGACACGCGTACATTCGCATACCGGGTACTGACAATGTCAACCAGGTTATCTTCTTCGACGGCGAGGATGAGATCAAAGAGATGCATGTCAACTCCAAGAAAAGCCAAGGAATAAAGGTCTTCGTGAAGGTCACATGTATGGTTCAACCTACATGGGCGAGATCTAAGATCAAGTTCCTTATGGACACAGGATGCGGACATGACCTCATCTCTCAACGTAAAGTCGAGAAGCACGGTCTGGAAACCCTCGTGAGTCAAGAGAATAGCGTTTCATTCCAAACAGCCAGCGGCGTTACTGCAACGGATTTGATATCCAATTTCAGGACGAAATCTTTCGCTGAGACGATCAACGCTTACGTCCTTGATGACACACCATCAGTTCTTTCAGTGGGGAAGAGATGCATGCAACAAGGGTATGGATATGTATGGCCGCCCGGCAAGGATCCGTTCATGATCAACCCGGATGGGAAGCGAATCTCCTTGTTCATCCACGGCGACATCCCGTACGTTCGTGCAGGAAGTCAGAAAGCCGGTCCACGCGACGATGAAATCGCATCAAACATCAAAGCCGTATTAGACAGCATTGGTGAGGAAGGAGCAGTATCCACTTCAACAGCGGATGCCGCGCTCGCGACGGCAACACCAGGAGAAGATGTGGAAGGTCCACCCAATGATGAAATCGAGGGACCACCCGAAGACGAGATTTCAGATGAAGCGCATGGTGAAGAAGTACCGTTGGCAGAAGCAGGACGACCTCCAGAACCGCCTGAAGGAGAACGAGAAAATGATGCAGAGGATGAAAGGGAGATCGAAGTCGAAGGAGAAGGAGCACCTGTTCGCAAAGCGAAGATTGGTACTCTGAAAGCAGAGGCAAAGACTTGCACACCTTTGTACTCATCGGTATCGGAACCCGTGTCGTGAGGCATGTATCAGGGCCAAGATGAAGCACTTCCGAACCGAACGTGGAGCCCTCGAAAGAGAATTGAAGTCATGGGGTGATTTGATTACCTTTGATTTCATGGACATGCGTAAAGCCGCGGACATGGGTGTGGGCAACGACGATGAAGGCAGGGAAATTCTGGTCATGCGTAATGTTGCTACCAAAGCCATTGCTGCGATTCCTACAGAATCCCGACACACAGATCAGGTCGTTGACGCTCTGAAGAGGTTAATCGGAAGAAGAAAGGTGAAGCTCGCCTACAGTGACGTCGCTCCCGAGTTCGATGCAGCGATGGCACAGTTGCCTATTCCGATTGACCACTCATTACCCTGTCTTCCAAAGAACAATTCTCTTGCAGAAAGGACCAACCAGGAGGTGATCAACACCGTTGCTACATGCAGGATTACCATCACAGTATTGGCCTGGAAGGAGATGGTGATTCGGCATGGAAAAGGATGACAGGTGAAGACGTCGAAGGAAAAGCCATACCATTCGGTGTGAAAGTATTCTTCAAGCCCACAGATATATGGCGGAAAGTTCGATCCAAAAGGGATTCCAGGAATCTTTGCAGGATACGTGATCACTACCGGACAGCAATGGTCGAGGAAGTACAAAGTTTGGGATATGGCAGAATTCGCTAACCTGAACCTGTCCACGAACGCGGCAGTGCCGCGCAAGCTTGCACAACCTTACTTGACAGAAGTGGTGGTACTTCCTGACAAGCTGGAGTTTCCGTTGAAGAACGAGTACGAGCGAATGAACGCTACGGGTTGAAGGACAACATCGATCTGCAAGGTAAAGAGATCAAGGATCTCGATGCCGACGATCGACCACCTGATGGAGACCATGGCGATGACGATGATGATGGCGATGACGATTCCAAGCGCAAACCTCCTCCAGAACCTGGCGAAGCGGATGACGGAACAGGCATTGGAGGTGATCCTGTAGATTTTTACGAAGCTCTTGACATGGTTGGTGAAAAGATACTTTGGAAGCAGCTGAACGAGGTGAATCACGTGGAAGCGCACCATCATCCTCCATTCTGCCGAAGACAGGGGAATTCCAAAAGGTGATGAGGAAGATCCAGGAGAAATCCTGCGTCGTCTCAAGGAATCGAAGCTCGTGTCCGATGAAGTCGATCATTGGCATGTTGGCATGAAGGGCGACGGGAAGATCTACCTCAATGATGACGGTGAAGCATGTAAAATCGACAAGCCTGGTGTACCTTACAAGATTGGCAGCGACGACCGACGCATCGTTCCTACCGACGACCCAAACATCTGTATTCACCAGAGGAATATGACACAATGGGCGCCAAGGCCAGGGATAAAGCTTACAAGGAGGACAAGAGAGAGAAGGCAAAGGCAGCCAAGAAGGATGGGAAGGGAGCCGCCGTGGGGCAAGAAGATCATGGACAAAATGCTGGACAAGATGATCTTTAGTGGATCGAGGGTGCCTGCTCAGGGAACGACAGTCATTATCCAATCGCGGGCGTCACATCACAACTTAAAGCTCGGTGAGGTGAGCGATTACACACAACATCAAAACCAAACCCTCGCGCAGTAGTAGTGGTGGTAGTAGTAATAGTAGCAGCAGTAGTACGACCCTTGATCCCAAGAGTTTTCCGGTGATTCCCGGAGCCCTGAGAGCCGAGGCTGGAAGGGCGATGCGTGCTCCCATTGCCACTTCTGCACAACGGAAGAAGCCAAAGTTCGCCGACGCGAGTTGCAGGACAAAGTGCCAGGCTTACCCTGTGAAGTCCGCAACCAGATTTCCAGGAGCAGGCGCGGAAGCTCAAGCGTGTGCGGAAGGCCGTCGAGCGAGCAGAGCGTGGTCCCTTTCCTCCAGCCGGGTAATGCCTTCAGGAATTGTGACTAGCTTACTGCAAAATTGATGGGTTCAGGGTTTTTCAATCGCATCTCCGTCTTCCAAGGATAACTGCCTAGTGTGGCATGCGGTGTGCAGCTCCACCCCAGGTGAGGATGCTTCATTGTGGCTTTGAGAGTGCTCTGGGGCCAGAGGCCCTTCTTCCCTGCCGGGCCATGCTCTTAAACATTGAGCCGTTGAGACTTAAAACAAGAAGTGGCCCTCAGGACGTTGAGATGCAAGGGGTGCTTAAAAAGCACATAGTTTGCCACATAATGCGTAATTCATGTCATGCCTCCCGATGCGCTAGCGCTGAAGGTGGCCTTGCAAGAAGATCCTGTTTCAATACAGTATCTTCTCAGAATGCAAGACGTCCAGCCTCACTGCCGATGATGCGCACCACTGCCTCAGCTGTATATAGCTGGTCAGTGGGACGTCACGGTGTGTCGTGCTCAGGTGGGACACGGAGCGAACCTTTGTTTGATCCTCCTGCCGAAATCGCATGCGTCAGCACCAGCTATTAGATACGACAGTGCAGCAAGTGTGAGTTTCTGCGTTGTTGCAGTTCGTGTGTTTTGATACCTCAGCGACATGCTGGGCAGCTGCACTTGGCAGTAGCTGCGGGCACGACGGTCGGGAACCTCCTCTCTCCATGAAGCAACAGCTGGAGGGTGCCCGCACTCGGACACATTCGCTTTGAGTGCACGCATCCAGGCTTGCTTTGCTCAGACAGTAGCCCAGCCAAAGACATGATGGGAGAGTCAGCAACCAGTAATTCTCTGCAATCGCTCAGACTTCCAAGATCCATAAGCTGGCTGGCTGCTGGGATGGAAGAGGGCCGACTTGCTTTTTTGGGAAAGGTTGCAGCAACTATCACCCTGCAAGCGGCTGAACCTATCATCTTCACTTTACGAGCGTGTCTGCAGATATATACAATGCACGCATCCAGAATCGGTCCAGTTTGTTTCGCTGCTCTTGTCCTGCACCTCAGACTTCAGGCGGTGAGGGTGTAAGTCTGCGGCGATGTTCAGAGTCGAATCTTCGCCAGGGCCACTAGCCGGAAGGCTCGTGGAGCAGCCTTGGACATCGAAGCAAGAGCATGCGCATCGCAAGCGGCAGAAGCAGCACAAGGTGTAGTTCCTACAATGCAGTTTGAAGGCAGCTTTTGCGGTTAACTGTGCTCGGAGCCAGCTTGCGCACCTGCTTTGCTCGTCCAACAGTCTCTTTCTGCAAAGCCTGCTGTCGCTCCTCCCTATGAGAGGATGGCGACACGCGCAATAGACTGACCAAACGTTTCTCTTGTTCCGGGTAGCTCCTTCCGCCACCGCGCGGAGCAACAGAGCTTAAGGCGCCGAGGAACAGCGAGCGGGAAAATGAGGTCTGTTAGCCGAATGCTGGCGCAAGCTGAAATGTCGGGGCCGTAGCACTAGCAGTAACACTAGCAGCAGCACTAGCTGTAGAGCAGCAGCAGCAGCAGGAGCAGCAGGAGGAGGAGCAGGCAGACTGGAGTAGTAGTAGGAGTACTCTACACCACATCCATGATTTTTACATCCGCTTAGCCGCCTCGGATTTTGCATTTACGGAGGACAGTCACTGCCAAGGTTCGCGGTCTTATTCCTGGTCCTTTGCTGCAGTTGTGGGGCTCTTTCTGAGATTCTGGATTTGTGGAACAGTTTTGTCCGTGTCTTCGCCCACCTTCACCCACTCCTGCTGCCCGGCTCGGCTGCGATGACCCCTCCCGGTGGACCGGTTGATAATGAACCCCGCGTACATCGCAAATTAAGGCTGCAGAATGATTAAACGTTTGCTTTCCCTATCTACGAATTCGGGCTCGACCCTGACACTCTGCAAAGCTCGTTTCTTTCCGTGCCAGTGTCCAAGTCGGTCGTGTTTTCCTCCCAGAGGTAGGTGGGCTGGGTGCTGGGAAGTAGGCCCCACCTCCTTGTCGGATACGGCGATCACTGGCTATGCAGGGGCGTCCCATTCACGAGCGCTTTCTTCGAGACCCAGGTTGAACTTTTCAGGGTGGATATGGAGAGCCTGAGATCTCACAGCTGTCTTGTTGCCGATTCTGTACATCGAAGGGAAATAAGCATTCAGTAGGATTGGAACAGGGAGGGACTGGGAAGAGAGTGGCAAAGGAGACGAAGGCAAGTCTCCCTCTAGCAACCTCAAGGCTTCGAGGGGGGCTTGCAGCACCTTCCAAGCCCCGCGACATGACCTACAAGTTTCGAGGAGGAGGAGGCCTCAGCACGATCGGATCTCGAGTGAACTTTCTGCAGATGCTCTGGCTCATCGAATTCCGCAGGGCTCGCAGCCAGCGTGTTCTGCGAGACTTCGGGGCAGCACTGCCAGCAGACTGTGACTCTGACCCTCAGGTCATCCGGAAATTGTTGTTGGGCTCAAAACGTCTTGGAGTCGGTTTGGAGTACTCCTCGAAGGCACACCGCGCGTCAGAGTCGCTCGCCGTCCAACGGCCCAAGCCCAGATTGTGATCAGGGTTCAGTGAACTCAGGGACTTCTGCACGTTTCGAACATTCTCATGATGATGATGGGAATACTGCTGCGATTGTCTTAAAGGGGTCGCAAGGCCGAGTCACATTCCCGTCTCGCAGTGGCCATGGATTACTCCTCTGCCTCGGAGAGCGAGTTTGAAAGCATCGTGGATCCCAGGCCGAAGCATTGCTTTAGGCTTCTCAGCATCCTTGTGCATTCAACACTACTGCCAGTAACACCGTGACTTGTCATGTTATTATCACTGCCTAGAGTTCAGTTAGTGTTCTTACGATAAGTATTCCTGCTCGTGTCGTTAATGATTGTCAATCTTTACGAGTTTCATTCTGAATCTTGGCATTCTCCGTGCACGGCCATACAGCTTTCACTATCAATGTTCGCTGGTTTTCTGTCATGTTTGTGTTCTTGCGGGTGAACAGCAGCGCTTTCGTGACGGCAAGTGTGAAAGCCATCAGGCGGTTGATTGCTGGTACAACGGCTAGTGGTCTCGTCGTCTAGGTGTGAACGAGTCCATACCATTCTGAATTCCGGCAATGTGGCCATCCATGTTGCAACGTCGGCAGCTCGTACCGGCCATGATGCTGCATGAACTCTGCCGATATTGCTCCAAGCAAGCCTGACATGCTAATGTATGACTTAACGAGCTTGAAGGTTGCAGCTGCGACAGATCCCAGCGGAGGGAACAACTCAGAAGACTGCTCTGTCTCGCAATGAACTGGCCCCCAGAGCCGACACCAAGACTTGCGTTGCTTGGCCGGGTGGAACGAGTTCCCAGTCCGATGCGCAGGGGGCTTGTGGGTCCTCACTCCTCATCCACTCCGTACACCCCAGCAATTCGTTCGTCCCTGCCAGCCGGTGTTGTGGGCTTTTTGGTGTGCCCTGATTGTAGTTTTCCAAGTGACTCGAGTCTTGGACAATTCGAAAGAGCAAAACGCTGAACTCACGGCTCCCATCTTTCATGCCGAAGGCTTGGTGCATGGTTACAACTTCTTGTCGAGGAACACGCTACCAGTAGCTGTCAAGACATGTTGCTCCATTGCCATGCAGAGTCGTATGCGGGCGCACCACGCCGCTCCTCTCCAAGTCGGTTCGTTTCTGTCCGATTCGTCCCAGGAACGTGCGCAGCAGTCCAAGATCTGTGACTGATTTGGGGTGAGCGGTTTGGGTCAGTCTCGGCTGTCGTCCACCATGCCTGTGGATTTTTTAGGTCTTGTGGCAGGTGATTGCGCAAGTGCAACAGGTTAGCAGATGGCCTGCCCTTCCACTATCTCCTTGACTTGCCTTATGCCGCGCAACGTGTTTTGAATCCTGCTCCTGCCACTCCTACTTGTCCTCTTCCCCATCCCCCGAGCTGCTTGTGGGCTGTGCTGGGCTCAGGGGTGCCGTCACGCGCTTTGGCTGCCATTGACTTCTGATGCTCCACTGCCAGCCACAGTGCCCAGCCGAGAGAGTCTGCCAAGCTGGACTTCGAGAGAGGTGCTGCTGTCGGCTCTTTCCTTCCTCGTCCGTCGAGGGTGGACAAATGGCGAAAGAGCACAGAAGCATTTTGGACATATGCGAGTTCGGCACACTGGCACCAAGACTCAAGACCCTTGGAATACCAACATGTCCGAATCACACAGAAGAACGGATCACTTGACTGGACAGCTATCGCAGAGGCTTCCAACTTGTCCAGTGCAACATGCGGCTCGGAACTGGGGAAAACTTGCCTGTGCGGTTTGGCTGACATTCGGCCAGCGAGTAAAGTAGCTGTTCTGCCATGCCGGCAAGTGCTTGATGATAGGTGCTGTACCGGTGTACCGTCCGTTTGTCGATGAGATTCGATGAGCACCGAGAACATCCGACGACTCAGTTGGTAATGCCGTTCTCTGAAGGATGTCCAAGAGCTCAGCTGTGCATTCCGTTTCGTTCAGGGGGTTTTACACTTGTGCAAAAGTTGGTCCAGGCTTTTGTTCTTGCCTTGATATCTGTTGCGTGCGATGTGCAGTGCGGGAGCTGTCTTCCGTCAGTTGATGTCGGCCAGTAGGCAAAACCAAGGTCAGTCGTCTATGCAAGAGCCGTGGGATTCAAAGCAATTGAACTCGTGCACCATGTGTCTACATCACTTACACTTCCCGGTCTCACAAGCCTCGCCGTCGGCAAGCGAAACCTCTAGATCTTGTAATCTGCAGGGCATCGTTGAAGGCTCCGCCTCTCATCTAAGGACAGTGGCCTTGTCAAACGCGATGGGCCGGGTATTGAGGCTCCTTGACTCGATAAGTTGCAGGCTGTAGGCAGCCAGCGGCGGAAGCAACAGCCTGGCATTCTGATGCTTGTCAGGATTAGTTTCGTGACAGTTGCCATTATTAGTTTAATTCGTCGTCGTAAACTAAAGCCGGTGACCGAGTTGCTAAAAAACAGGGAAATTGACACTTGTGAATCGAACATATTCGAATATCATACCGGAAGAAGTGCGATGTCAAGTCCAATCTGCACACTTGCGCTCTTGCTCCGACTGTACATTCACTTCCTACTAGTCAATTATGCTGCCACTGCTTCTCCTGCTACCACTGCTGCTGCTACTACTGCTGCTACTTCTGGTCGTACTGCTGCTACTTGTATTTTACTAGTACTGCCACTACT